TGATGGCAACTCAAGCAGGCCACTTGTCCGTTCTAGTCACTTAGGAACAATTTTGACGGCTTTCAATACATAGTATCTTTCTGAGCATCTCCGACATCTGAAGAAAATAGAGTTTTCATATCTGGTCCAGGGTGACATGATTGTATTAGAATATGCTCGAAAGTTTTTAGAGTTGGGCAGGTATTCCCCCAAGAGCATGACGAATGAAGACAAGAAGGCGAGAAGGTTCTAATGGGGTCTCCGTCTTGAGATCAGACAGCAGTTATACGTGTTCGAACTCAGTACTTACTTGGCTATTCTGGTCAAGGCACAGTTAGTGGAGAGGAACCTCTGCATTTTTCCTCTAACAGTAGGGAACCTCAGGCCCTCGGCTCCACACCGCAGACCAACACCTACTGTACCTGTTCAACAGAACAAGAGACCCAGGCTGATGACTCAGGCTCCTTATCAGATTCCAGCAACAAGACATGGTAGGACCTGTCAGCACTGTGGCAAGGATCATGGGGACCGACTCTTATATCGCCTCAACAATACTTGTCGCATATGTGGGAGTGCCCAACATTATGCGATGGAGTGCCCAAGGAACCAGAACCAGGTCAAATCTCTTATTTAGAGCAGAGCTTACAACCTCATTCAGCAAGATGCAGAAGCCAATCCAGATGTGGTACAGGATACGTACACTATCTGTAATCATCTTGCACATATTTTGATTGATACTAGTGTCTCACATTCATTTGTTTTACATGTTTTTACATCAAACTTGAACGTATTACCTAAAAAACTTGATTCTTTGTTATTTGTATCTACTCTTGGGAATAGGACACTATTGGGGGAGGTTATATACAGAGTCTGTGTCATAGATATAGCAGATAGAAAATTGATTGTGGACCTAATAGAGATTGACACAGGAGACTTTAATGCAATTTTAGGAATAAACTGGCTAACAACATATCACGCCACCGTAGATTATTTTCATAAGAAGCTTGTGTTCAACCCTCCTAATGAAGAGTCATTTATAAATTAATAGAAATCTTTAATATTTGTTCCCTCATGGCAAATTTTTCTATTATCAAGTGCTTTAACCCGACTGTTTTCTCTAATTAGGCAAACTCAAGAAAGAAATTTGTATTCAAGAGATTCTGATAGTCGGAGACTTCCTAGATGTGTTCTCGGATGAACTACTTAGACTGCTAGTGGACAAAGAAGTTGAATTCACCACAGACCTCCAGCCAACCACCCAGCCTATTTCGGTTGGCCCTTACCGCATGAGCCGTGTTGAGATGGAGGAGCTGAGGAAACAGATCAATGAATTACAGGCCAGTAGATTCATTCGACATAGTGTGTCTCCCTATGGTGCTAGAGTCACATTTGTAAGAAAGGGAGATGGAACGTTGAGGTTATATATTGACTATAGAGGTCTGAACAGGGTCACAATCAAGAACAAGTACCTCATCCCCATGATCGATGACCTTTTTGATCAATTGCAGGGTGCCCAGGTCTTCTCCAAGTTATACCTGTGTTCAGGTTACCATCAAATAAAGATCAGGGTAGAAGACATTTTTAAAACAACCTTTCGAACCAGGTACAGACACTATGAGTTCCTGGTCATGCAATTTGGACTAATCAACACTCCAGCCATCTTCATGGACTTGATGAATAAGGTTTTCAGATAATTCCTAGATCAGTTTATCATTGTGTTCATCAATGATATCTTAGTTTATTCAAAAACTAGAGAGGAACACGTACGCCATCTGACTCAGGTTTTACAAGTTCTTAGAGAGAAGAAATTGTATGCAAAATTGAGTAAGTGTGGATTCTGGCTTGAGCAGACTACCTTCCTAGGGCACATCATATCAAAGGATGGATCCTTTATCCTGTAATTCATTGATCTATTTCCTAATCTCTTCCATCTCAACACGGGTAATGCGGTAAGGAGCAACCGAAATAGGCTGGGTGCCTAACTGAAGGTCTATGGTGAATTTGATTTCTCTATCCACTAGGAGTTC